TGGAATTTTTTTGCATTTCCAAAATTAATAAAAAATATTTTGTACATTTTTGACTGTTTCTGTTTCTTTTGAGCATTGGTATCCAAATCTTTAGCTACTTGTTGATTTATTTGTTCCTTTCCTGTCAAATCTTTTGAGTTCGTCAGTGTAGAAAGAATGAATGAAAGTATAAAATTTCCTGAATTTTGTAAAGATATGGGCATGCATGCAGATGCATAAGGGATTTCTAATCCCCAACAGACATTACCAGGAAAGAAACTCTCCAGGCCACATAATAGCCAATTTACCAAAAAGCATAGAACAAGAAAAATGCTAAAAGCAACCGGTTATTAATCCTGTCCTAGGAATAACTGGCAAATATTTTTCCTATTGTCTTGATTCCCCTTTCACTCTGCTATTTCCTTTGTTGTATAGAAGGGTGTTAATAGAATGTAATCCATTATATATTATGTTCTAATTTTCCAAGCTACTGAAGTTATTTGGGAGGACATTGTAGTACCAGTGTTTTGATGTTCTATCTACATTTTCATTTATTAATTAAAACATTGTATATTGTAGATTGAGGTCTTCACCCATTGTGCATGATCTTTGTATATGGAGAGAGACAGAACTTTAGTTTCATTTTTCCTACATGGGTGTATCAAGTTTTCCCAGCATCGTTTGCTGAAAGAAATGTTGTTCCTACAGTGTGTGTTCTGGGCTTCTTTATAAATAATCATATGGATATTCAAACAAATTCTCCTCTCCCTGGTCCTTTATTCTATTGCATTGGTTTCTGTGTTTTTTTGTCTTGTTTTTCTGTTTGAATTTGTGCTTTCTTTGGTGTTGTTGCAATAGTGTGCTATCTCTGTCATTATGGTTTTGGAGCATATTTTTGAATAAGGTATTTATTGTGATGCCACCAGCATTCTTCCTGTCAGAATTGTTGCTTCTAACTGATCTTGGCTTAAAACCTGCTTTGTTGAACACATGCCTTTTAATATGCATACTTTTTTGGTTTGCATTTTATTTGTGGCAAATATCACCTTTGATATTTTTACTTTCAGGCCGTGCAAGCCTCTGAAATAACTCAAGTTACTAGAAGATAGTGAACACTTGAACCTAAATTTTTATCCAATAAGACAATCTCTTTTAATTGGAGATCTGAGGCAGCTTACAGTGATGACTACCAAAGAGTGATAAAGATTTTAAAAAAAATACAAGTGATAGGAAATAATTTGTCATGTTTATTTTAAAGTAGAAGTGAGAAAGTATATTGAAAATCTGCTTTTTAAAACTAATTTTAGAGTTACTTATTTTCAGGCTTTATTTCCCTTAGTTTCCCCTACATCTCTGCACTGAAGGGTGGTTGTGAAGAACAGTTCAGACATGTGGCAGTCCAATCAAAGTTGAGCTTTTGTTCCCCGAGGTTAAATAGAGAATGAAGCAATTAATCATTGGATACTAACTGAAATGGCATCAAAATGTAGTAAGGGGCAGCTCTCTTTTATATTGGGATTGTGCATAGTTTGAAAATGCTAGCTTTACTTTGGATTCATTCCCTGTGTATAAGTTGATGCCACATAGTTACCTGGAAAAGACAGTATGCTAGTTTAGCTCACTAGTACCAGATTACAGGACATATTCAGAGGATGTCACTGCCTCGTCCTGTTTTTAGTAGCTGAAGTAAGTAACCCATTTATTTCATCACAATTCTAACAGCTGTTTAAGCTCCAAAAAAAGAATCCTATTTGATGAAATTATTTCAGCTAAAGACATCTACTTATTACCCATTATCATGGAATAAAACAGTTATAACCATCACTAAGCAAAGAATTGATGAGAGCAAGTGCCAAGACCCACAGACAGACGTTACATGTTACATGGAAACAAAGTCTAAACTGGAGGTCTCCATTGGTTCCCTCCCCTAGGGGCTCAAGGAACTCCATAGAAGAAGGGGAGGAAAGTCTGTATGAATCAGAGGGTATGGTGGACACCAGAGGAATGTGTCCCACTGAATCAGCTAAGCAGGGTTTACATTGTAACACAAATAACAAAAACCCAGAGACAGATATTGGGGTTCAAGATAAAGGTCAGAAAAGCAAAGCAGCCAGTCACTAGCTCTTACCTCTGCCTCATACCAAAATGGGTGATCCTGTCTCCACGAATCCTCAGAGGCAAACATGCACTGTACTGCTCTCCACCAAGCCTCAGATTGCAATTCCTCTCAGTGTCTGGCTCCTCCTGCCTTACATTCCTCTCTCCTGCTGGCCATATCACCCCTGTCTCCACCCCTCCCCCCAGTGCTGGGATTAAATGCATGTGATCCCAAGTGCTCAGATCACCTTTGTGTGAGCTGTTTCTCTTTTAGACTAGATCAATTTCATGCGGCTTAGTGTGGCCTTAAATTATCAGAGATCTGTCTGCCTCTGTCTCCTGAGTCCTAGGATTTAAGGTACGTACCACCACCACCGGGCCTCCGTGGCTAGCTCGTATGGCTGCTGGGATTAAAGGTGTGTATCATCACTGCCTGGCTCTATGGCTGTGGCTAGCTTTGCATTTTTATGTCCAGTTGCTTTGTTAGATCATAAACAATACATCACCACATTACATGGGTTCACAGAGATTGAAGTGGCAATCACAGAGCCTGCACGGCTGTGTCCCAGGTCCTCTGCGTATATGTTATGGCTGTTAGCTTTATGCTCTTGTGGACTGACTCCTCACAGCGGGCGTGTCTCTGACTATGTTGGCTATTCTTGAAATCTTTTTCCTCATATTGGGTTGCTTTATCCAGCCTCCATATGAGGACTTCTACCTTGTTTTATTGTATTTTGTTTTGTCCTGATTGGGTGTCTTCTCTTGGAGGCCTGCTCTTTTCTGAAGAGAAACAGAGGAGGGAATGGATTTGGGGAGATAGTGAGGTGAGGAGGAGCTGGCATGAATGGAGGGAGGGAAAACTATGGTTGGGATGTATTTTCAGTAAAAAAAAAAAAAAAAATGAAAGAGAGCATTAATTTGAAGAGAGGACTATAAAGTCATTCACTGTATACTTAATGAGGAGGTTTTCCAAGGGTGAATTTAGTAAGTAAGAATATTGTTTTACTGAAGCAATTATAAGAAAATCAAACAATAAAACAGTCAAAATTTAGAAAACAAGCATTTTTTGTCTTTGAATCTACAAAGCACATGTTTAGAAGTCTCAGCTACAGTGGGTTGGCTGGTGAAAACTGGAGTTGAATTGTAGTATTAGCTAATATTTCCATCTCTCAAAAGATTTGTGCCAACGCATATTAGACTATTCTTCACTTTTTGAAATTGCCTTTATGCTTAGCCAGAAAAGAAATGAGGCTGAAAATTAAGTCACATGGCATTTTAAGCAAGAGCCGGTAATTTTTATTCTGCATGCAAGAGGCAGACCAATGAATTAGGGATGATTTTTCCCAGAAGCCATTCTGCCAGTTGCCACTGTCAAGTGGACTAATACATTTCCAATCCAAACCATTTCAACAAAATCCCTGTTTTTATTAAGGTTATTGTAACTAAGCTGTATTTTATCCAATAGGGAGGGCACTTTTGTTTGACTTTGGCCATCATAGCCCTTTTTAGTAATTGACGATCACTGCACTGCACAATTTTTTCTAATTATCCAAGCAGTTTTTATTACTGAAACTGACCAGATAGGTGCTTCCTCAACTGTCCTGTCAGCCACAGCACCACAATCATTCCACCTGTAACTTATACCCAGACCAGGAGCTTTTGAGCAGCATAGGTTGTAAGACACAGGTGCCATCCAGAGTAGGCTGCCTTTTCATGTGGTTTGTACCTCTGATTTCCTCAGCAAACAAACCTGTGATGTGATATAGGACTAGCTCTTGACTGCATTGTTTCCATACAAGGATTTTTTTGTATGTTTGTTTGTTTATCTCTTGACTGAATACTAGATTGTTGTTGTTTTTATTGTTTGGATTTACTCTTTGAGGGCCCGATACCCAGCTCCCAAACAAATATATGCATGGAGGCTTATTCTTACTCATGAATGCCCCGCCTTAGCTTGTTTTGTTTCTAGCCAGATTTTCTAATAAATTATCCTGTTTCTCTTTAACTAAATTTTGGCTCTGGGATTTTACATTTTTTTAATTCTATGTATCTATTTTTCCTTCTTTCTCTGTGGGTGGCTGGGTGACTGGGTGGCTGGGTCACTGTCTCCTGGAGTCCTTCTCGCCTCCTTTTCTTGCTCCTTTCTTTTTTATTCTTGCTGTCTGTCAGCCCTGCCTATTTCTCTCTCCTGTCTAGCTACTGACCCTTCAGCTCTTTATTAGACCAATCAGGTGTTTTAGACAGGCAACATAACACTCTTCACAGAGTTAGACAAATGCAGCATAAAAGAATGCAACACATCTTTGCATCATTAAACCAATATTGCACAGCATAAATTAATGTAACACATTTAAATTAATATTTCACAGAATTAGGTTTTCAGTTCTGGATAACAATATTTTCCTTGAAGATTTTCTAACTTCCTACAATACAGTGAAAAGAAGAAACATCCAGTTTCTGGTTCTTGTTCAGTTATTTAAGTTATAGTATTTAATCAATGTGAATGCATATTTTTACCTGTTGAATTCAATTATTTTCCAAATCAGGATTGAAGAATAAAAATAAAATACTGTTTAACTTCTTAAACTCTTAAAAGGATTTCTCCTTTTTTAAAGTTAATTTGCCCTTGTATTATTTTTTTACTTCAGAGATGGTTATAAGACCCTTCACTCTTGCATTTTGCTTTTGTAATGCTGAGTCCATTTCAGAGGTTGTAAAGGAGGAATTAAAATTTAGGGGGAAAATAGGAAACAGAAGAAGGCTTCCAAAGAAAAGCCTCATTATGAGTTTCTGATGTTGGTATGGACTCATATTCACACTCAGGAAAAATGGAATAGCCTTGAGGGTGTATATTTACATTATAGACATAATATATCTGTCACCAGATACCTCAGTTTATACTCAGAAACCCAAGAGCCACCTACCTGAATGAGATCACCCAAGGAAACTGAGCACATTTTGGTGATGGGAGAAGTTCTTCTGTGTATATATCTCTCTTATTGGTTAATGAAAAAAACACTATTGGCCAATAGGGAAGCAAGGTAGGTGGGACTAGAGAGAAGGAGGATTCTGGGAAATGTAGTAAAGAGGAGTCGCCATGTGATCCCAGGAAGAGAGGATGGATAAGGCCGGTGTCCTTGGTAAGATAAGTCCATATAACATATATAGATTAGTAGTTATGGTTGATAATTAAGACTGAGCTAGCAAATAAGAAATCCTAGTCATTGGCCAGCAGCATTGTAACTAATATAAAACTCTGTTATTGGGGGCCCTAAAGCAGCAGCAGAACTCAGGCAGCTGGTAGAAAGATTTATCATTACATTATGGTGTGTGTGTGTGTGTGTGTGTGTGTGTGTGTGTGTGTGTGTGTGTGTGTGAACTTTGTGCATACAGTTATCATACAAGATTGTTGCTTGATATCAATCATATTTTCATAAGCAAGCTAACATTTCATTCAGTCTGAAGGAATGAGAGTTTTGTTTCAATTAATTTGAACAAAGTGACACAATCTGCATCTTTTAGATGATGAGTTGCTGGGCCATAAAAACCCAAAAGTGAATAGGAACATGCCAATGTCACTCCCTATTGGCCACTTACTGTCCATATTTTGTGCTTTCTTTAAGCATACAATTCAGAACATAGCGCAAAATACAAATCCCAGTAAATATTAGCTCAGCAGTTTTCTATGGATGTTGCTAAATCTTCAACTTTCAACGCCATTTCTAGACTTCATATGTGAGCCACGGCATCGAAAACTGAATGACTTGGAGCTAAATAAATGCTCAAATATTCTTTATCTATCATTTTAAAAGTTCTATGCTGATTGTCACCAGGGGAAGGTGGCACATTGTGCTCCTCTCAGGGCCTTATGTGAGATGTGGTTCTTGCCCCTTCTCCAGGACAAACCTATTTGTCCTCTTTATTCTGGGTAGCATGCAACAATGTATCATTTGGTTAAAAATTGGAAAAGTAGACACATTTGCAGCTAAAATAATGCAACAGAGGATGGGATGGATGAATTATATTTGATTTTTTTGAAAGTAAAACAGTGTACAGACAGAAAATAATTAAAAATGGATACATTGCACATCAGCCTGCACTTCGGGAAAAATTGACATTGTTTGACTCATTAAAGCTGACTGACTTGAAGAAAATGATATAATAAATAATAAATTCGTATTATACAGTATGAGCTTCGGGGTCCAGAGGAAGATGGATGTTTGTCAAATTTGACATGCCAGCAAATATGTCGGGTATAGTTCATGCCTCAGTGTATCTAAATTTTACTTAAATTACAAAATGTACCCCCCCATTAACAGATATGCAGACTGTGCAACAAAGTTAAGAGATAATTAAGCAACTGGTTCAGTAACTCAAAGTCTGGGTTTGAAACTAGCTAGTTGGCTGGTGAAGGAAAACTTCTATCTCTGACACTGATCTGAGTACTCTATATTTTTCCGTAGAAACTGTTTAAGAGGCAGATGAGTTTTAAAGCCAGTTGGCAAAGTTCTGTGGCTGACAAAATTACAAAGAAACAAATGTGGTGATATGTTGTTTATGATTTAATAAAGCCACTGGAGATCACCATGCAAAGCTAGCCACAGCCACAGAGCAAGACAGTGGTGACATACACCTTTAATCCCAGCAGTCATACTAGTTAGTCTTGGGGTTTATAGTATTCATGTTTTTAAATGAACAGTACAGATAAATCTCTATTTGAGAAACTAGAGTTAAAAAAAAACTACCAAGAACTGTACAAGGATTCTTTAGAAGCAAATAAGTGGGAACGTTTGAAGGAAAAGTTTGGTGTGGGAACATTTCCAAGTTCCCCTATTGTTACTGAGGAAGAGATGGACTTTATCATTGAATCAAGATAGTTTTATATTAAGAAAATACCAATACATAATTCTTACCCTGGAGGATTCATAATCAAAGCCTTGCTTATGCCTTGAGATCTGTGTCACTTATAGCTTAACATGATTTGATTCTTTAAAACCAGGCAATAGAGAGAAAACAGAGCAGATCATGGATAGCAAATGGTTCAATTGTAGATAGAAGACACATGATGCAAGGTGTTAACTGATGTGACTATGTATCCATCACCAGGAATCCCAAGAGCAACATGGAAGTCTCCATCAGTAGGCATGCAATGAATCAAAACAAGAGTGAGTTGTGAAATCAAATGTCTACAAATGACAGCTGGCTAGTGACTGGAGAAACACATCTGTCCTGTCTTACTGATGGCCTATGATGTGGTGTAGCATTTGGAATTTTCCATTGCAGTTTTCAAAGTCATCTCCAAAGTTTATGGTATCAGTATTAGATTGGAAAATCATACTCTAAAACTTTATTTTAAAGGTATGTCTAAACATGAAGTGAAGTCAAATTTTGAAGAAAGTTAAATGTTTCCCCCTTCCTTTTTATGTGCTCTGATGTTTCCTTTTTCACTATTTCTTACTTTTTATAAAACAAAAGATATTTTTTGATTAGAACAAAAATTCAGAATTAACTCTAAGATAGGAATGACCCCCAGAAAATATCTGTCCTTCCTTGATTATTCTAAGTAGTTCCACTTTCTAGTGAGTAATAGAGGTTAGAGGTCTCTTCAAAGCTGAAAAAAATGGACAAAAGGAAAAAATTATTTACTCTAAACTACTAATTTGGATCATGTTACCCATATAAAAACTCATTTTGAGTGAATCCAAAGACAGTCTAATTGCAATTATGCCATATGTTATTGTCTTTGGATCTTTTTCCACCTGATCTCAAATGTCAATATTTATACCACTTAATTTGAGTGGAAATAGTAAGTTTTATTAACTCATCTCTTTAGTCTTCTGTGAGATGATGAATTTATATCTAACTTTAAGGACCTTAAAAAAGCATAAATGGTGCAATCTGTAGTATACAGTCACTCATCTAGAATCTTAACAAGCAAGTCATTGTTTAGTCAAAGATTTGTTAACACAGACATGCCTAGCATTTCCAGTGACCCAGGGAAAAATCAATATGATTGAGACATGGAGTGGAGAGTTGTGATGATTCACTTGGGGAGAAGATACTGGAAGACTGGAGTGGAGAGGCTGCCTTAATGAAGTGATGTAGTATGGAGAATGAGTTTTCTTTGGGATGACCACTGCCATGTTATCTAATCCAAAAGGGTCAGCCCAAACTATGCATAAATATATATGAACGAAACTAAATGGATTAAGAAGGATATATAATATACACACATATATATCATTAGCATGATTAGATTTTAATCCAGATAATAATTATGTATTTATATTTTATGAGTTAAAGCATTAATTTAAGGAAGTTTAATATATTGTTATTAAGATTATATATGTACATATATTCTAATATATATGTTATAAGAAGAAGAGGTAATGAATCCAAGAATTGGAAGTAGAGGGGAGGAAATGGATCACAAGAAAGTCTAAGAGAAAAAATGAGATACAAAATTGATACTAAAATGACTGTCAAATGTCCCCACATCATGCATATGTGTATTTTCAGAAAGACTGGTGAATCATAATAGACAAATGATTACAAAAATAAAGGCAAGAAAAGTTATGAACTGCTGAACTGAAGAAGATAAAGGTAATAAAACTGCCACATTTCTGTGAAATTGTCACTTAATCATGTTGATTTTTATTGTTTTATCTTTGTTTATGTTTTACTTCACTAGATTAAAAATGGTAGAGTTGTAATTTTGTGTGCTACACAAAACACAAATCCAAATATTCATATAACAATGGTTGACTTCTCACATTACTAGATATTTTCAAATGAGGATACAAGTAAGTATCTTCAGTAGATGCACAGATATAAATGCTGAATGATAAAAATATGTGGCTTTTGTAGATGTCCCATTGTTTTTTTCCTTTGGAATTATTTCAAAATGATAATTCATCTTTGTCAAGGTTCAGGAAACAAATATGCAGTCCTTTTCTGATTTGTATACTGATGTAAAATCTTCATTATAAACTCATTTTAAGGAATGTACCATGCAAGTATAATCTATATAAAAATGTGGTTTCACCTATTGTCTTTATACTCATATTTTAGGATTTCACTTCTAAGTGGAAATCACAAACTTGTAGAGACAAAGAAAATGTTCATGATGGGACACACCTCGGTTCAAATGCTGGACTGGTTCCACCCACTCTTTCAACCATTACACTTATTTTCAAAGTCCAAGACTTGCCTGATATGGGCTGTCATATGGAGACACACTAGCTTGTAAGTATTTTTGTGCAGTAAAAGTACCTAGCACAATCTTTCATTATGTGTAAATTTGTATTAATAGCTTGTATTAATTGATAATTCAATTCCTACCTTAATTAGACAGTTGGGTACACAATGATACAAATAATAGTTTGTATAACTGATAATTAAATTCCTATTTTAATTAGATAGTTGGGGACACATTGGAAAGAGATTGTGAATAATCTAAGCAATGTGTTTTTGATATACATCTATTCTAGGTATATGTACAAATCCCGTATGATAATATAAACCATTGAACAAGTTACCTCTCATCAAGTAGCATAAACTATGAAACATCAAGGAAAAAATATATCTATAGAATCTGATAGAATGAATTGTTTTCAAATTTTTAATCCCAAGAAAACACCATATTTGCCAATCATTTTAGCTAATTGATACCTTTTTTATTTAATTATATATCTTATTCCAGCACTCCCAACACTTGACAGCCACCATTGCCCTCATTTTGCTTCTGGATTACAAATCTAATTACGCTAATTATATATTTTTATAAGTTAAAAACATTAACGTAAGAAAGCTTAATATATGTCTTGTTGTTTTAAATTAACCCTGAATCTTTTCATGCCAGCCTTAGGACATGGAATTGAGAGGAAAAAGTGTAGTCAGCCCTTCCCTGTATTTTCTTTTTCATACTATACAAATATTCTCCAATCCTCTTCCCTGGTGTTGCTCGGAAATGGCAGCAGCACCACCACCACAGGTTTTCCTGTGAGGTTTCCATGGTAACTGGAGCTTAGGCCAGTTTTCAATGTCAGTTGGAACATGTTAAATAAGAAGCATGTGTTTCTTAACATTATTTGTCCAAGTAAGTATATCTTGACCATTCCACTTGTTCCTCTAAGTACATTGCATTAGTTGAGCTAAGGTTGCAATTGTGGGCATTTGGACATTTTTAAAAAAACATTTCCCACAACATTTGTGCCCCATCCATGAATCACACAAAGGACATCAAGCATTGTGGCTGTTTCACTTGAAATGTACCCAGGGAAGTTTTCATCAAGGACATAGTTTCATTTTAGTGAATTGTATGTTCAATCAAGTTATCCTTTGAGTAAATTTCCAGATGTCATACAAACACAGCTGGTTTCAAAGTAAAGTAGCCCCACATTTTCTTTTCTGCCAAATACATGTATCTTGAAAATTAGGTCAAGGTTTTTGACATGTAGATTTTCTCGACAAAAATCAAATATTTCTTTTGTGCTGTCCCTGCTCTCTATACACCTACGCACAGCAGTGCTTCTCCTTCTCCAGCATTTTGGCTTGGACTTGTTCATTTTTGGCTGTTTTGATAATAGTCTTTCTTATGTGAATGAAATTACATTTGTGTTTTGCTTTGTTTGTAACAGTAGGAATTGAACCTTGTGGCTTACATATACCACAGTTGCTCAAATAATATCTCCTTATGACCCCAGTAATTCAAGACTCCAGAGACATTCTGCATCTGGGTTTTACAGAGAGTTTCTATGTTTGTCTTAGCTGTGGCTATATAGCATAAAGCTTTAGATGATTTTTGGGAACCCGACCAATCCCAGGCTCTTAGAGGTCCTGATGGAAGGACAAGGGAAAGTTAGTCCTGTGTCCTTGTCCAGGAGTGGATTTGGCAAGGGCCAGTCTGAGACTGGGACTAGTGCTGTGAAGCAGTCAAGGTTGTGGTTGCTGGGGATCTGGCTCTCCCTCCTGGGCTGTGGTTATAAGTCCTAAGGAAGCTGTGTCTGAGGTGTCTCATGTCCTCATTGTCTGATTGAGATCTGTGTTGACCTTGGCCACCTCTTCCCCTGAAAATAGTATGTAATAAACTGTGATGCTGAATAAACTTGCTTGGTACAAGTCATCAGCTTAAGCAAGACCTCCAGGCTGCAGCCATTGATTTTTTTCCCACTTTACTTGTGGCCCCGATCCTCGTACTCAACACTTTACTGTTCAGGACCCTATTCCTGTGGGTTTGGGTCAAGCTGTGCTACTAGAACTAAGGTCCTGGATACTCACAAGGACGTAAAATGGAGAGGGGATGAGTTGGGCTAGAAGAAGGGGTACATTCTTCATAGAACTCTGGCTTAGAATTTGTAAAAACAAAAACAAAAAACCACCTAAATAGTAAAGCTTTTAATGTGCTTATATCATTTAAATGAAATTAAGGTAGTTTGTATATAAAATTCTCTAATTAGGGAAAGACATGCAAGGAAGCAATAGTTACTCCTGAAGACTTGGAGAGACCCCTCAGAAGCTTCACGGGACAGGAGTCAGTCACCAACTATGTCTTACCATAGTGCCTAGGAATGTGACAACCAGACACCAGAGGGTCATAGCTTCGAAACTTGCCAAGACATCCGAGACAATTTGAATAAATGTATTAAGGAAATAATAAGCCTATTTATTTTTATTCACCAAATACCTTGGGACAAGTTTATTTATTGTACTAATTGTTTGAGTATGGATGGGAATAAAAAACAAATCTGTAGGAATATAGAGAACTATGTCTCAAATCTGTTACTTTCAAGAAAATAGTTACAACTTTTCCATACTTTCACATGTTTCTCCCTCTGAAGGAAAGGTTTTGGATTGAACCCTGTATTGTCTCAGATTAAAATATGCTATCCAAGCTTAAGACAGACAGTGCTGTAAACTGTGTGGGAAGCAGCAGTTGCTGAGAAAAGCTTGAAACTGGCAGGTCAATTAGAAGGACAGAACCCAGGCTTTTGGGCAGATTTCTGTGCTGATTCTGGAGAGTGTTGTCTGCTCTCACCTGCTGGGGAAGCCTGTGACCCTCTCAAACTTACATTTTATCTTCAGAAGGATGTACTGGAAGCCTTTTCAGTTTGCAGTTCATTTTCAGAACAAAAGCATGGCTTCACATGTAAGAATAGAATCAGAAATTTCAAAAGAGATTATAGTTTCATTTTGAGCATTGGTTACTTAGAAATATCTTAATAATATTTTTATTCTTTGAAAATTTCCTATATTTATGCAATGTATATTGATCAAACACATCCACTGCTACCTTCTTCCAACTCTTCCTAGTGCTCTCTGCCAATCTCCCTGGCAACCTCATGTCCTTTTTCCATTTTATTACTTTTATTTGTACATTGCCTCTTAGAGATCAAACAGCGCTTCCCATATGCGTGTGACTATGTGGCTGTTCACTGGAGCATAAGCAGTGTGTCAGTGGTCACATCCCCCCCAAGGATGTGGCTCTCCTTCCCTCAGCAGACATCCACTGCTGATAGATTCTCTGCTATGGGTGGAGCCTCAGAAGTCTCTCCCCAGCCATGCTGGAACTTTCCTTTGGTTGTACAGATCTTGTGCAGGTCAGCAAAGCTGCTATGTGTCAGAAGCAGAAATCAACACTTTAACATTCTCCTCCTCCTCTTCAAGTTCTTACCTTCATCCTGTTTTCTAGGGTGTTTCCTGAACTGGGCTTGGTGGGAAGTTGGTAAAGTTAAGGTACTCATGATTGAGCACTTAGAGTTATTTCTACTTTGTAAGTTGACCAGTTATGAATCTCTGTGTTAAGGAACACCCATGACAAAAAGGAGTTTCTCAGAGCAAATTCAAGAAAAGCCCAAACCTGTGGCTATGAATGTACCTATTTATAATTTAGTTGGCAGCATAATTATTTAGCAATGTCCCCATCCTCCCCTGACTCAATGATCTCTACAATCATAGGATTTGTGTTAATTTTACAGTACCAGGCATGGAAAGTATCTTATGGAAACATATGCATAACAAATAGAAAGAGGGTAGTTGGTTACCCCATAACCATCATGTTACCATTGCTGCTGTGAGCACATCTTCATATGAGGTCAGCATTGTAGCATGAAGTTTCTTCTCCAGAGTCCTACATACCACCTTCACCCACTGTAAGCCATCTATCTGGAGACAGTTATCTGCTCAGTTTAAGACTTATTTCTCTATTCCATACATCTAAGTTGAGAGGTGTCTTCAGCAATGGTACCTTAGCAGCTACTTATGCTGGACAACCAAGAACAATGATAATAGCCTCTGTTCTTTGGTGAGCCTTTGGAGTTTCCCTGACAAATAATTACTAAGGAGGTAACCTATCCTGGGCAATGAGAGTTTCTGTTAATAACTAACAAGAAGCATTGCTCATTGCTTACTGTTTTTCCAGACTTAAACTTTTCTGCACTCAGTGTTCTACCTTTCAACTCTCATTTGCCTGCATTTTACTATGCTCTCTTTTCCCTTAAGCCAGTTAGACTAGTGGTCTGTTTCTAGCTTGCTGACTTCCTTGTGTACTCCAAGTCAAACATATAAAATAAAAAATTCAAAGTTAGGGTTCCCATTTGAGAAAGAACAGCAGGCTTGTAGTCTTTGTCTTTCTGGGCCTTGGTAAAATATCCTGTAAAAATGTACTATAAATTATACATAGAGTCAACACTTCGATGTTAATAAATGAATGACTCCAATAACAGTCCTGTTTAGCACAGGATAAAGTAACCTTAATCTCATTTACCAAATCAATGAAAAGAGCACATGTAGAAATAAAATTACTAAAATGTTTTCTTTTCTCTTTTGGGGGCCCCATCGCCCAGCTCCCAAATGAATCACACACAGAGTCTTACTGTTATTTATGATTACCTGGCCTTAGCTTTTCTGGCCAACTTTACTTAACTTATACCATATGCATTCTCCCTCTGGGCTTTTATCCTTCTGTATATCTTACTATCCTTTGTACTCCCTGGCTGGCTGGCTGGCCTCTGATGTCCTCCTCTCCTTGTTCTCTTACTGTTCTCCCTGCTCCTCCATTTTCCTCCCATTTATCCTCTCTGCTCCGCCTGTCCTTGCTCCTGTCTCGCTATTGGCCACTCAGTTCTAGGACCATCAGGTGTTTTAGACAGGCAAAAAATCACAGCTTCCCAGCGTTAAACAAATACAGCATAAACAAAAGTCACACACCTGAAAATAATATGCCCCAACAATAAAAGTTAAGTTTT